CTCGTATCTCTCTGAGTGTTTCATAGGTCTCAAGTCCTGTGCTTGTTGGGCAGAAACCCAAATGAGACAGACATTCGGCAAGCAATCGCCTAAAGGGGTCCAAATGCCATTTCTGAGACGTGCCACAAAGGAGACCAGAGGGAGAAAGTCAGTTGCAGGCAGGGGAGTGTCCCCTCACTGACTGGGGATTGGGCTGAGGTCTCAAGGGTGGCAGCACTTGCTAAGAGCCGAAGGGGGTGCAGATCCGAGGCAGCGGGAATGGCAGGTAAACACACACACTTCCAGGGATGGGAGAGGGGACACTCTGGGAGGGAACTGCCATTAAGAATGAAGGGCGGAGCGGGGAGAAGAATCTGCAGAAGCAGAAGTGGGGAGGAGAGGCCCTGGAGGGCTGACATGAGAGCCAGGTTTACAACTTGATCAACGGACTCTGGTTGGGAGGTGCGCAGCGCAGAAATCCAGGTGTTTTTCCCACCCTCACTGCCAAGGTCTGGACTCCAGGCCCACACCAGCGCTCTGCCTCTGGCCCATCCTCCCACAGCAACACAGGAGCACTTTCTCAGACAGAGCTCTGCTTGGGTCACTACCTGCAAAAAGCTGCAGGTGATAGTGTCCACCCAGACAACTGCCCTCTCTGGAGAGGCTCCTCCCCTCCCCTCTCCAGCCTTGGAATCCGCCTTTGAATGAGTTCAGTGCACACCTTTGCACCTCCATTCAGGGGTCCTGCTTTGCCCCACTCCAGTTCAGTTCAGTCATTCAGTCGTGTCCAACTCTTTGCTTTCCCCCGGCCTGCGGTAATTTGCTCCTTCTCGGCCCATGGAACCCTCACTAACCTGGGATGCCAAGCTCAGAGTGGCTGGGCTACCTGTCCTCAGACCCGCCCCACCACAGTCAGAACTGAAGCTCTCCCCTGGCCTTCACTTCTATTTTGCTGGCATTTTATTTTATCCTTGGAAGGACTGATGGCTGAACCTGAAGCTCCAGTACTGTGGCCACCTGATGCGAAGAGCTGACTCACTGGAAAAGACCCTGATTCTGGGAAATATTGAAGGCAGGAGGAGAAGGGGTGACAGGATGAGATGGTTGTATGGCATCACCAACTCAACAGACGTGAGTATGAGCAAGCTCCAGGAGATAGTGAAGGACAAGAAAGCCTGGCATGCTGCAGTCCATGGGGTTGCAAAAAGTTGGACACCACTGAGCGACTGAACAACAACATTTTATCCTTGACCCGTTTATTGATGTTGGTGTGTCTGCTCTCTAGATGGCAAGTTGCCTGAGGCTGGGGATTCTGCCTCAAGAATGTAAGTAGTAAGCCATCAGGGTCAATGGAGAACTCATTGTTAACAAATCTGAATGAAGTCCCTGCTCCAAGCTACACTTTAGGGAGATGGCAGAGAACAGAGCAGTCAATCTCCTGGTGAGACTGACAATCAGAAAGATAAATGTAAAAGTATAGTGAGTGAGCTCACGAGCTGGTGTTGAGTGTGTGTGCATAAACAGAGCAGGAGAAGGAAGGCAGGCGATGTGTAATTGTGGCTTTCAGTTTTCCATTGATAGTCAGGGAATGTGACACTAGAGCAAAGACCTCAAGGAAGTGAGGGCTAGAGCCTTGCTGATTTAGGGAGCAGATCTTCCCAGACTGAGGGAGGAGCATGTGCCAAGGGCCTGGGGTGGCTATTGCTGAGTACGGGCAGGGTGAGGAGAAACTTGAGAGCTGGAATCCGAGGTGAGCGTGGTGATGAGGGTTGACTTGTAAAGTCCCCCGAGGACCATTGGAGAGATGGACTGTACCCTGGAGGGATAGGGTAAAGGTCTGAGTGTCCTTAGTGGACGAAGGGCAGGTTCAGACTTACCAGGATGCCCCCAGTTGCTGGGCAGACACAGATTGAAGCTGGTGGGGGAGATGGTATGTATGGTGATCATAAGTGCCATCCTCATCAGAGTCAGATTCTAACACCATCCACTGGGCTCATTTCTAAAGCCCTCTTCCCAGAGGGACTGGGTGCATGGAGGGCCTTTGCTAGGCCACATTTCAGGTTTTTTTTTGGGGGGGGGGGTAGGTGAAGAAGGAAATGGCAACCCACTCCAGTATTCTTGCCTGGAGAATCCCAGGGACAGAGGGGCCTGGTGGGCTGCCGTCTATGGGGTTGCACAGAGTCAGACACGACTAAAGCAACTTAGCAGCAGCAGCAGCAGCAGGTAGGTGAAGATAGGAGAACCATTCTCTTTGTGAAGCCCCACCAGCCATCCTAAGAACGGTGATATCCGAAGAGATGCTGGGGACCAGTCACTGCTTCCCCTTTTCATGATGCTAAACTTAGGCCCAGAAAGAGGGCGTGGGGCAAATTTTAAATGCAGCAACACCGGTCCCATTCTCAAGAATGGCAATCTTTCGTTCCCCCCTCTCCCCACCACAGGAATCCCCCTGGTTCAGGTGTGGAGAAACAGTTTGTAACTTTTCCCAAAGAGGGGGACATTGGTCCATTAGCTGCTCAATGAGTCAGAGCCAGGCCTTTGTATCGCTCAGGCGGGTACCGAATGGCCTGCGGTATTAGGAGAGGTGGGTGGGGGGGGATTCTGAGAACCTGCTGCCATGCTCTAGGTGGGAGGGGGTCCAGGGAGAGGTAGTGTAGACCGGGTTGCCCAATAGTGGAGAAAGTCTTCAAGGCCTGACAGGTGAGTGTCCCCTTCCCTCCCCTCCCTGCCCCTCAATGCCCCCTCTGCCCTAGAGCCTTCCCAGGACTGGGTGCCTGGGGGGCTGGTAGGGCAGGCTCTCATTTCATCTTCATCTTTCCCAGGAACCCTGGTCTACCTGGCGCATCCTTGACTCTGCATTGGCTCATGTGGTTAGGATTATGTGCCCACAAAGCAGTGGTGTGGACAGTAAATGTGGAGGAAGTCTTTTGGTTGTTGACCTACTTCCTCTTTCAGTCATCCACTGAAAGGCGAGCCAGTGGGCCTGGTGGGGCTGGTGTGGCCTTGTGTGTGTGTGTGTGCATGCTAAGTCCCTTCAGTCATTTCCGACTCTTTGCAACCCTATGAGCTGTAATCTCTTCTGTCCATGGGATTCTCAGGCAAGAATACTGGAGTAGGTTGCCAGTTCCTTCTCCAGGGGATCTTCCCAACCCAGGGATCGAACCCACATCTCCTGTGTCTCCTGCATTGGCAAGCGGGTTCTTTAACCACGACTGCCACCTGGGAAGCTGGTGTGGCCGTGTCACACTAAACAGCACCGGCTTCTCCGGTGGCCTGATCCACGGCCCTGGGAGCAGGAGAGGTGGGATAGGCTAGCCCTAGCTGCCTGTTCCCAACCTGCAACCTGTCTTCTTCTTGAGGGTGCTGACTGTCCCTGCCACCTTGCCAATGGCCATGGAGCTGAGCTATTTAGAGAAAGACGAGCGTGACACCAGGGGTCAATCAAGAGACCCAGTTTCCAGCCCCTGCTCAGCCACCAACTCCTGGGGGGCCCTCTGCATCCAACCCATCAGAAGAGTGTCAGAAACCCTCTCTGGGAAAGCACTTTTCCTCTCTTTGGAAAGAGTACAGTTGGAAGGTAATTCCCACCCACAACCTGAGGGGGAGAGGAGACGGGAGGCCCCAGCTCCCCTGGGAGTCAGCAGAGGTGGGCAGGGGCCCTGGGAAGGCCTAGAAGCTTGCAGTTAAAGACTCCCTACCTGCAAAGATGGAAATTTATAAAGGCTCCTAGATCCCTCGTAGCTCAGTGGGTAAAGAATCTACCTGCAATGCAGGAGATCTGGGTTCAATTCCTGGGTCAGGAAGATCCCCTGGAGAAGGAAATGGCAACCCACTCGAGTATTCTTGCCTGGAGAATCCCATGGACAAAGGAGCCTGGCAGGCTCTAGTCCATGGGGTTGCAAGAGTTGGATACAACTTAGTGATTAAACCACCAGCACCACCACCACCACCACCAGATCCCTTGTGAAAGACTGCTCATTTGGGGATCTTCACAGTCAGTGAAGGTTGGGCCTCAGGGATGTTACTTTCAGCCCTGGGTGCTCAGATGGAGACCTAGGGTAGGGTGAGGTCTAAGGGACTGGGGTTTCATTTGTGTTGAATGATGAGGATTACTCCTAATTTAGGGGCAGGGGGAGAGGGTCTTGAACTGACAGGAACTGAATGGAAACCTCTTTACCACACTTTGTCATATTGCCTATCTCCTTTGAATGTTCTCCTGACATCTCCAGGCAGTGGAGTGGCTTATGGGATTCTGGTTTGAGGTTCCCTTGCATGGACGGGCCTGGCCTCCTAGGGGACTGATGTTAAAGTACTCCAGGGAGGCCCAGGCAGGGGCTCAGCACACTCCAGCACCTTGAGCTACCCCCAAGCCAAGCCACCGAGTGCTGAATTTTGCTGCAGATAGAAAAGGCAACGTGCCTTGGAACCCCTGAGTCTGGGCCATGTCTGCTCACCCCTGACTTTGTCACTTTTTATACCCCTCCAGGCTGATTCTTAGCCTCCCCTGGATGGCCTTTTATACGTGACCACCAGATCACTCTCACACCTACCCTTCCTCACCAGTGGACTGGACAATGGCCAGTGTGGAGAAGGTAGGTCGTACCACCTTTGACACGTGACACTGGGACTGGGGGAACTGAGGTGACATGGCAGAAGGCCCACCACAATGTCAGTAACAGAGCCCAAAGCTACTGCCTCTCCCCTGCCCTCCAGCCCCAGCCCCCCCTTCATCCTATCTCCTTTCTGTTACTTATGAGTAGACATTCAAGATATGTACATGGGATTGAGTTATGAGAGAGTTTTTGTGCTCAGGCTGCTGTTACGGACAGTTTGAGCTGAGGAGAAACTCAAACTGTGAGGAGCCTCCAGACTGAGACTCAGTGTGGAAGGAATGGAGAAACTGGGGAGACTGGGCCTGAGGGAGACATGGGGACTTGGGCCATAGGTGTGTTTGTGGGGGTCAGGGCAGGGAACCATGGCAACCATCTGCAGACCTCTGACACGGCTCGGTGATGTCATAGTCACTCTCTGTTGGTTCTGCTCACAGTGACCACAGGTTGCAGCTTCAGGCCAAGTGCCTCAACTGGTTAAGAGAAGACACTGCTCAGGAGCAGACATGGAAAGTCTTCCTTTGACAAGAAAGACAAATTTTGTCACTCGAGGTATGTACACAGAAATCAGAGACCAAGGGGCAGGGCTCTGGCAGTGGGTGGGAAGAGGGGATCTTGACGGTGGTGTCTGGGCACGACTTACTCTAAGCTCTCTTCCAGCAGGGAGATACTCTTACTTCTCTGGCTTGGCTTTCAAGCTGCTGCGTCTGTGAATGCCCTAGGTGTGCCCAGGTGTGTGTGTGTGAGTCTGTATACATGTGCTGCTTGTGACTTCCCTGTGCTTATGAGTGTGACCCTCACCAGCCACTCAGGGGTCTGTTAAGAAGTGCCCACGGGCTCTGAGTCTGACCATTCTGGTGTTCCCAGTTTGGTGCTTCCAACTGCTAAGGGCAGCTTCCCATTACGACCAGGACACCAGGCAATGGCCAGACCAGAAGGAGGCCTCTGTCCCACCTCATATCTCTGGCCTAGAAAGGCCTGACAACACTGAGAGGCCAGGGCACTCTGGAGAGTGGTCACACTATAACTGGAGGCCCTGCTTCCCTCTGGGAAGGGTAGAAACAGAAGACAGGGGAGTGGCTTGAGAGTAGCAGACTCTAAGAACCTGGTAGTGGAAGAAGTTGGAGCCGTTAGCCTGGAGAAGAGACTTGGCCTGCTGTGCAATCTCTGAAGGATAAGGGATTAGACTGTGTGTAGGATGGTGACCCCAGGGCTCAGAGATAGGCCCAGATGGAAGACAACCCAGAAGGGAGGTGGTAAGTTCACTGTGAATGGAGGTATGCAAGGAGAAGGTAGGTGAGCACTCAGCTAACTCTTAACAGGGCAGGGGATTAGATGAAAGAGCCTTAAGATGTCTGCATTCCGAGGAGTCTGTAAACTGGGGACCTAAGAAACTGACTTTGATACCTGTGGCTCTTGCAAAAGGGCACTGTCTTTGCCTTCATTAGGTTCCAAGTGGATTCCTAACGTTTGAAGCCCAGCAATGCCAGCTACAGGGCCACAGCCTAAGTCATGACACTCTGAGGAGCTGGCAAGAGCTGGGTGGGGGTGGGGAGGTAGGTTCATTCTGAGGTCATTTCCCTTGTACAGCTCAGACTCAGCCACAGTTGCTGGAAACAGTGTTTCAAAAACTCATCTTCAGGTGGCTCTCATTTATAAATATGGAAATTATTAATAGGTGAGTATCCTGGGCTTTCAAAGTGCTCTAGAAAGGGAATATCTGTAGAATAACTCATGATACCTCTTCCACTATTTTCTCCAAATTTCAACCCTTGAACTGTGCTCCTTTTATCAGCTTTCCTTTTTTCCCCTCCATTCTTTCCAGGAGGCTCACGGTATCTTCAAGAGGAAAGGGACCCTCAGACAGTTTTCAGCAAGGCTGACACTAGCATTTGGAATGGGACATTGCTCCCTCCTAAGCGACTCTCCTGTACAATGCAGGACATTTGGCATCTCTGGCCATCCTCGCCTATTAAATTCCAGCAGCAACATTTCCCAACATCAGTTAGAAGTGACACTGCCCTCTCCCTCTTTGAAAATCATTGCCTGAATTCCGCCCCCCCCCCCCCCCCAAGATCTGACTTCCTCAAAGCCATACCACCCAGTGACAAAACCAAGGCCAGGTCAAATTCCATTCATTCATTCCAATAACTTTTATTCTTCAATAGGGTGTGTGTCAGAAGAGCAAAGGGAACGCGGGCCTAAACTGAGGTGGTAAATAGGGGGCTGACTCCCTGCCCATAAAGTTACTACTACTCCCTTATGCCAAACTCTCCTTATGCCAAACTCCGTTTTCGTCCTCTAGCCCACCTACCTCGCTGGTTCCGCAATTGCAGCACAGATTGACTTTCTGGGAATTAGTGGAAAGAGCCTAGACGAGCGCGATCCTCGGGAGCACAATCAGGTTCTTTTAAGGCGGGGTGCGAGTCCCGAAACCCTGAGATCTCACAGCAGCTTTCCTGCTCGAGCGAGCAGCTGCTTTCCGCCGGGCTTACGAGAGCTAGGTGCCTGCCGCAAGGCCCCTGCAGCAGAGTCGCGGCGGAACTCGGTGGAGGTGAAGGACAGTCGACCCTCACGATCTCGGAGTTGTCCCGGGGCGGGTGGCTGGGGTGAGGGGTGGTGGGTGGGGCTGCCTAGGGGACAGGGGACCCGGGACGCAGAGGCCGCGGCTCAAAAGGAGCAGAGGGCAGCGCAACCCGGCTCGACCTTGCCCTCCAAACACCGGAGGCCGAGGCCGAGGCCGCAGGGAATGGCGGAGCTACGTCTCCAAAGTCCTTTGAGATGCCACCTCGGTGCGAAAAGGGCGGGGGGCGCGGGGAGTGGGCAAGCGAGATTATTATTATTCCTCGGTTTTGCCGCGGCAGCTAGCGCCGGCGGGTTGTTCTGTTTGAATGAATGAGCCCAGCGGCCGCGCCCAATGGGCTCCCGCGCCTGTTTAATATTCATGAGGCCCGCAGCCAATGGCCGGGCGAGGAGGTTGTTTTAAACGGCGGAGCCCGCTGGCCAATCAGGCGGCTCTCGTGGAGGCAGCTAGCGCGAGGCTGTGGAGCGCTGAGCCGCGCGTCGTGCCCTGCGCTGCCCAGACTAGCGAACAATACAGGTACGTTTCGCACCGCCCGCCGCCGCCACCACCGCCGCCGCCGCCGCCGCAGAAGCAGCGCCCGCACAACTTTCCTCCGGCCCGCGCCGCCGCGAGCGCGCTCCGCCGCCGCCCCCTGCCTCTCCTCCGCGCGCCCTTCCCGCCCCCTTCGCCTCCCCTCTTTGCTATAGGTGCGGGAAGGAAAAAGCGATTCAGGTGTTTCAACTTTTCCATGCATCAACCTGAGCTCCCCACTGTTGGGGCTGCGTTCCCTCCGCGGAACCCGTCCTGGCCGACGCCCCCCGGGGCAGCGGCCCAGGGACCTTGGCCCCCTCTGAAGCCAGATGTTCGGGCAGCTGCGGCGGCGCGAGCCAAGGGGCGACTGCGGGTTCGGGCGGCGCGCGTCCCGGCGCCGGGCGGTGGACCGGGGCAGGGGGCCGGTGCTTCTCCGCCCGGGACGGACTCCGGGGAGGCCGGGCGACCGCTGCCCGCCGGGGACTACGACACAGGCAAACTTNACTTTCTTTCATCAGGAAGCTTTTGACAAAATGGAAGGTGAATTCTGCGTGTCCGAGTGACCCAGCGCGGGGCCGAGCCCGGCCGTCCGTGGCCGGCCCCGGGCTCCCCAGCGACCCGCGCCGCCGCACCCGCGCCGCCACCGCGGGGCCCAGATTCAGCCCCTCGGTCGCTCCCAGGGAAGAGGAGCGCTTGAATTTAGCGTGATGACCTTGGGTGTGGGAAAAGGAAAAGATGGCGGGAAGCAGGGGGGGTGGGACAGGGACGATGACACGCCACAGCTGCATTTTGATTTGGAAACTTTGCAGAAAGTGTTCCTGGCTGGACATGCTTGCCTTTTTACCGATGGGCAAGACTAGCCCTTTCGGTCTCCCCTCCCCCTTTAGGTAATGCTGAAGATACAGATTGGAACTAAATAGTACAAGGGAGATCTGCTCACTTGCTAGATTACTCTTCTTGTAAAAGCCATTTTTATAAGCCAGCACGCATCAAAAATAGTGAAATTTCAAGTGTTCCTTATTTACAGTTCTCCTGGTTTGGTCTTGTAATCCTCAGTGGCAACAGTATTGTTGTCTCTAACATAGTAAAACAGATGACCCGCTAGCCTGAAGTGGTTGGTTGCAAGCTTCTGCCACCCGCCTGCACCCTTTACCAAGGTGTCCTCCGTGTGCCCTTCCCACTTTTGAATTGTAGTTTGCAAAACGTAGTAGTTCTGAGTCGCAATATAGCTCAGAACCACCCAACTTGGGTCGGTTCCATTTGGAGAACTTGATCACTCCTGGAGAAGTAACTCACAAACCAGCGCACTTCATGCTGGTCAAAAGTTAAATGACAAGCGACAGTGAAACTGATTTCCTCCCTACTCTGCCTTCAGCTGCTAGAGTGGCTGCAGGATGGGGGTGAGGGGTCTTCCAAAACGGCCACCTTTGGTATATCTTGCATATGTTCATTGTGTTTGTTTCTCTTTGTCTCTCTTCCCTTCATCAGTCAAGATGGCTAAAGGTGATCCCAAAAAACCAAAGGGCAAGATGTCTGCTTATGCCTTCTTTGTGCAGACGTGCAGAGAGGAACATAAGAAGAAAAACCCAGAGGTCCCTGTCAATTTTGCTGAATTTTCCAAGAAATGCTCTGAGAGGTGGAAGGTATTTTTCTTTTGTATCTTTCCAGCCACTCTTAGTTGGATTTCACACTTTCTGGTTACTGACTTCCAGTGTAGTTCCGGGTGGCTGTTTTCTTTCTCTTTACTTAGACTCATCTTGTCTCTCCTTAGAATTTTGTTTTATTTTTGAAGATTGTACAAGGGTTTAAGGCTGTCATCCCCTTTTGCAAGTGATTCTTGCAGTTGCCACCGTAATTACAGGACAGCTGAACAGGTATGTGCTCACTGCATTGAGGAATTTAACAGATCCTGTGTTTTGCAGACCATGTCCGGGAAAGAGAAGTCGAAATTTGATGAGATGGCAAAGGCGGATAAAGTGCGCTATGATCGGGAAATGAAGGATTATGGACCAGCTAAGGGAGGCAAGAAAAAGAAGGACCCTAATGCCCCCAAGAGACCACCGTCTGGATTTTTCCTATTTTGCTCTGAATTCCGTCCCAAGATCAAGTCTACAAACCCTGGCATCTCTATTGGAGATGTGGCGAAGAAACTGGGCGAGATGTGGAATAACTTAAGTGACAGTGAGAAGCAGCCATACATCAACAAGGCAGCAAAGCTGAAGGAGAAGTATGAGAAGGTGAGGGACTAGAGTGTACCCTGCACAGGCTGGGGCCTCTGGGAGCCTGGAAAGGTGAACGGTCAGCTGCCATGGCTGGGCTGGGGGTGGAAGGCTGCAGGCCTCGTCTCCATGCCAGATCCGCCTGGTATACTGGTGGTCCGGCTTCTGACAGATGGTTGTGTCTGAGACAGCTTTTCAGGCAGGCTTCAAAATGTGATCATATGGGGGTGCCCCCAGCAGAGGGTCAGATAGTGCTTATTCACTGGACTTCGAGAGCACGTGAACACCAATGCACTCTGCAATTGGAGTGGCTGTGAACCCAGTTTGAATCTGGAAAGAAATACTTCAAAGGGCAGCCCTGTCTTCCTCCCGTACATTCTCCTGGGGTGGGGACGGCTTGCTTCTACCCTTGACTCATTTGCAATGTGTGTCTCCCTTCCAGGATGTTGCAGACTATAAGTCTAAAGGGAAGTTTGATGGCGCCAAGGGTCCTGCTAAAGTTGCCCGGAAAAAGGTGGAAGAGGAAGATGAAGAGGAGGAGGAGGAGGACGAGGAGGAGGATGAGGAGGAGGAGGAGGAGGAAGAGGATGAATAAAAAAAAAAACTGTTGATCTGTCTCCTTGTGAATACCTTAGAGTAGGGAGCGCCTTGATTGACACACCTCTCACCCAAGACGTGTCTGTTGCCCTCATTAGGTTTAATCACCCGATTGGCTCATGATCATATCTTAGTCTCTCCATGTGCTCTAGCAGTTGTAAGTGGTTTACATTAAGTGGCCATGGGTGTCTGGAGCACCTGGAAACTGTATCAAAGTTGTACATATTTCCAAACATTTTTAAAATGAAAAGGCTCTCGTGTTCTCCTCACTCTGTGCACTTTGCTGTTGGTGTGACAAGGCATTTAAAGATGTTTCTGGCATTTTTTTTTTAATTTGTAAGGTGGTGTGTTAATTCTATGGTCATTGGCTAGAAATCCCGAGTTCTCAACTGTACATATCTATAGTTTGTAAAAAGAACAAAGCAACCGAGACACACTCTTGATGCTCCTTGCTTGGTGTGGAGGCTGTGTGGGGGCAATGCCTTCCGGAGGGGCCGTAGCTCAGGGCGTGCACTGCGGGGCTGGACCTGTGGATACTGCAGTGGGCATCCATTTAGCTTCAGGTTGTCTTGTTTTTGTATATAGCGACATAGCATCCCGCTGCCATTCTTAGCTGTGGAAAGGGGAGGGGGGTCAGCAGGCATGAGAAGTGTTTTGGATCCTTTTTAGTTGAAGTGTGGTAGTTTTAAACTGTTTTTTTTTTTTTTTTAAACAAACTGTAGAACTGTTCATTGTCAGCAAAGCCAAGAGCCACTGCACCAGTGAAAGTTCAAGAACCTTCTGTACTAAACACGATCTGCAATGTTCTGTTATTTTTTTTTTGTATGTTTAGAATGTTGAAATGTTTTTGAAGTTAAATAAACAGTATTACATTTTTAAAATTGTGCTCTATGATGACAGTCTAAATGTCTGACTCACAGCAGTCTTAGCAGGAGGACAACCCACTCCATGGCATCTGGTAACTAGCCTCCTGGTGAATCTGGTAAATAACTTCTCTTTAGCTTACTGTGGCCAACCTACTGAGGACAGAGATAAAGAAGTCTTGAAGCTACTGCGTGATTTTGTTTGTGTCTGAAAGGCATTAAGGTGAAGTCTAAGCTGCTGAATGTAGGTGCTGAGGTCACAGACAAGATTTAGCAGTCCTCAGAGGTTTAGGAAGGTGGGTGGTTAAGGTTGAGGCCGACTACTACTGGGGTTTGTTTTTGGTTTAGGTTTCTTTTTTTTTAAATCTCCCGCTCTACACCCCCCCCACACACACACACTGGGCAGGTGGTCAAATTCATTGCTAAACAGCAGAAAAAACGTTCTTTCAGCCTTTTTTTTCTTTTACCCATGCCCCCCCATGCCCCAGTTACTCATAGTAGAACATTATTTTGCTCAATGATCAAGGCGTTCTTGAGCTTGGCATCCTCTCTTAGACCCCAGTGAGGGCTACATGGAGGAGGGTGCAGTGTCCTTTTCCCTCCAAATTCAAGAAACCAAATACCTCAAGGAAGATGGCTGGGCTCCATCAAGGGGCACCTGCAGGGCAAGCTGATGGCATCAACTGCTTCTAAGTAGTAGATGTCATCAGAAAAAAAAAGACTGGTCTGCCCATGGTTTGAGCTTGTTTAGTTGGAATATAGATTGTTGTTAAAATGTTCTTAAGCTTGAAGAGGCTTGTTATATGTTTCAGTGTTTATTTCCTTTTGGAAGGTGTAGCATTTTGTCCAGGTTGGGCTGAGGGGTGATGGCCATCGAGGCAGATGGTGACCTTAAATATTTTGAGTGCTGCTGTGTATGTGCATTGAATTGTTGGCAGTAATGAAGGGGACTGTGTTGGGGGTGAGTGTTATCTGTCTGGCATTAATCCACAAATGTACATGTTGGAGGCTGTGAAGCACTCAAGGTGTTTTAATGACACTGAGAAGAAATTGCTTTTCTTAAAATTCACTACTGAGAAGCTTGGCTGTCTGCAGGTAGTATCTTCCCCACTCTGTCAGGGTCGTGGTCATGGTCACTGGCTGGGTCTCTAATCTGTATTCATAGCCATTCTTTCTCACATCACAACTGTTTGTCCTAAATGTGTTTTTCTAGTTCTAGAAAATGACCACTAATTTTAAAAAATTTGGTCCTGAGGTTTGCCTGGAGGAATCTGTTCCCCGGTGGCCCCTGCCTGCTTTAGCTGTGCCCAGTCACTTCCCTCCAGCCTTTGGCATTGTCAACCCAAGAGCCTGCTGCCTGACGCAACCTACCAGGCTAAGACACGGGAGCTGTGACCAACCTAGTCAAGTATGGGAGGGAAGCTCAACCTGTAGTCACAAAGAAGTGATTTCATGCTTCGAAGTGCTCCTCTGTCTGGTGGAAGCTAGAGAAGCCAGCTACGGAGGGGCAAAGACTAAAAGGGACGACTTTTTTTGTGCTCCTGTAGTAGTTAAACCTAAGTGGGGGACTTGTTAAGTGGTCTTTGATTAAGGAGATATTTAGTTCTAAAGAGACTGAGGCAGCTTGGCCCATACGCTGCTTTCAGTGAGAGGACTGCTTACTGCAGGATTCTCACCCATTACCATTGCTCCTCTTAATAGAATGATGCCTTGTAGCTTCTCTGAGATGCTGCAAGTGGTATGGTGTCACCACCTGAGGCTTCAGCTTAGCTTGATTTCTGGGCCTGCAGTATGTGTTCCTGCACCAACCTGTTATTTTTTTAATCAAAAGGCCAGTAGCCGCTTTCTCTAACCACCTCTGCCTTCTAACACCCTCACCCCGTTCTTGAATAATGCTTTCTACTTTGGAAAGAACAAGGCTGTGATGTAGCAACTGTTGTCTCTGTCTTCTGTGTGTCTCTTGTCACAAATGTATTTGGGGACTTTGGATGCATTCATTTCCTGTAATAAAGTTTCTTAATCAGTCTTCCCAAAAAGTAATCAGTGGGCTGTCTGCAATCTGTCTGAGATACTGAACCTCTGTATTTTGGGTTGATTATAATCAAGACTTTAAAAGGACACTTCACCATAATGATAGATCTCAACTAACATTTAATAGAAAGATACTATCAAAAAGAGCAAGTGTTAAGGACTCCAAATCCCCTACCTAGATCGACCCTTCAGCCAGAGGGGTAGCAGGGAGTTAGCTCTGGAGCCCTGTGTCAGGGTGAATATGCAGTTTGCAGGAGCTGCTGTTGATAAAGTGGCTGGGTACTTGTAATCAGCCAGCCTGGCCAGCCAGCACTCCCTAAGGCCAAGGGTTAGGGCTCAGTTGGCTGGCAGAGCCAACCCCAGCAAGGAGTCTTGGATGAGAGCCGCTGGGGCCACTTGCTGTACTTGGCCTCTGGCTTAGTTTCATGTGGAGCCCAAAGCTATTTGGGAGGGAGTGATCGCTCCGTCAACTCTGCAGCCCCAGGCCTCCTTTCCTGCTTCAAACAGACCAAATTCCACCTTGTTTTGTATCTTGAGTATTCTCCTAAGTGTGTGCCCAGTTGCTCAGTCATGTCCGACTCTTTTGAGACCCGATGGACGACAGCCTGCCAGGCTTCTCTGTCCATGAGATTTTTCGGGCAAGAATACTGGAGTGGGTTGACATCTCCTCCAGGGGATCTTCCCAACCCAGGGATCAAGCCTGTGTCTCCTGCATTGGCAGATGATTCTTCACCACTGAGTCACCTGGGAAGCTCCAGCCTCCTAAGATGTTAAAAAAGAATCTGGGACAGCATATTGACAAAAATAAGGAAAGCATCATCTCAGTAGATTCATTAAAAGTGTTTGATAAAATACAACACCCCTGGGGAGTAGGGGACACACAAAAAATACAACACCCCTCTGCGATTAAAAAAAACAAACACTCAGAAAACTGGAAATAGAATGGAACTTCCTCAACATGTAGAGAACAATTAGGAAAACCCATAACTAATATACTCAATGAAAGACTGAAAGCTTTCCTGCTTTCCCCCTAGGTTTAGGAACAAGAGAAGGACATCTGCTTCTGCCACTTCTGTTCATCATTGTGCTAGAAGTTCTAGGCAGGGCAATTAAGCAAGAAAAAGAAAACGCATTCAGACTGGAAATGAAGGAATAAAGCTATGTGCACTTGCAGGTGAGGTCATCTTGTATATAGACAATCCTAAGGAGTTTCCAAATAAAACTCTCAGAACAGATGAGCTCAGCAAAATTGCAGGACACAAGATCAATGTATAAAAATTATTTTTCTATATATAAGCAATGAACAATTTGAAAAATGAAACTAAACAATTCCATTTATAATAGCATCAAAAATAAATACTTATTGATAGATTGAGGGATGGGTAGATAGGGAGCTTGGGTTTGACATGTACACAATGTTACACTTAAAATGGATAGCTGACAAGGATCTTCTATGTAGCAAGGGAACTTGTCTCAATACTATGTAACAACCTAAATGTGAAAAGAATTTGAAAAAGAATAAATACATTTATATGTATCTCTGAATTACTTTGCTTTACACCTGAAAGTAACAAAATATTGTTAATCAACTATAATATGGGATAAAAAGCTAAAAAAAAAACACCTAGTAACAAACAACAAAATAAGTGTAAAATGTCTATGAAGAGAACTACAAAACATTATTGAAAGATGTTACCTTAAGAAATGGAAAGACCTGCCATGTTTACGGGTAGGCAGAAAAGATGGCAGTGCTCCTGAAACTGATCTATATATTCAATGAACTCCCTATCAGAATCCCAGCTAACTTCTTTGTAGAAATGGACTAAGTGATCCTGAATTTCATATGGAAATGCAAGGGATCCAGGATAGCCAGACCAACCTTGAAAAAGAACAAAGTTGGAGGACTAGGATCTTCCAATTTCAAAACTTACCACAAAGCTGCAGTAATCAAGACAGTGTGGTAACTGCATAAAGACAGACATATATACCAATGGGTGAAAATCAAGAGTCCAAAAATCAAGAGTCCAAAAATATAACCACATGTGTATAGCCAGTAAACTTTCAACAAGGGTATCAATACTATTTTATGGGGAAGATGATAGTCTTTTAATAAATGGTGTTGAGACTACTGGGTATTCACATGCAAAGAAATAAATTTTGACCCATAGCAACACCACATACAAAAAAAATCAAAATGGATCAAATGTAAGAGCAAAACCATAAAACTCTTACTAGGAGACATACGTGTAAATGTTTGGCAATAGTTTCTTAGGACACTGAAAGCACAAAGCAACTAAAGAAAATAGATAAATTGAACATCAAAATTACAGAAAAAAACTTTAATGCTTCAAACAATATAATCAGGAAAGTGAAAAGACAAGCTATGGAATAGGAGAAAATATTTACAAATCATATATCTGGTAAGAATCTAATATCCAAAATATATAGGCTTTCCAGGTGGCCCAGTGGTAAAGAATCTGTCTGAAATGCAGGAGACATGGGTTCGATCCCTTGGTTGGGAAGATCCCCTGGAGCAGGAAATGGCAAGCCACTCCAGTGTTTTTGCCTAGAAAATCCTATGGACAGAAGAGCCTGGCAGTCTATAGTCTATGGGATCACAAAAAAGAATCAAACATAACTTAGTGACTAAACAACAACAAATCCAAAATATATAAAGGACCATTATAAGTCAGTAATAAAAGGACAACCAAATAAAATGTGGGCAAAAGATCTAAATAGACATTTCTCTAAATAAAATGTACAAATGATAATATGCCCATGAAAAGATGCTCAGCATCATTAGTCATCAGGAAAATGCACATCAAAATCATAATAAGGTATCACTTCACTCCTTCTAGCATGCATTTAATAATAATATAAAAAGGAAAATAACTAGTATTGATTAAGACATGGAGAAATTGGAATCCTTGTACATTGCTGGTAAGAATGTAAAATGGCGTGGAAAACAATTTGGTCCCTGAAGCAGAGT